TTTATTTATTTTTTCGGACCTTTCAACAAAAGCACGGGAAAAAAACGAAAACTTGACTCAAAAGAAAAAAAAAAAAACCTTAAATGGCTATATATGGGTAAAAAAGAAAATGGCATGTTGTTTAACTCCGGACTATTCCTCATGAGAGGCACTAGTTTAAACGTCCAGCTTCTTGTCAAATATAATGCCATTTATTCCAACACCAAGATTTTGTTCTTATCTCCCACTATTATCCCATCCATTAAAAGTTAAGCTTTCAATTGGTAACGAGGCGCTTATTTATTTATTTATTTATTTTCAATAGACTATAGTTAAAAAGTATTATGATAATCGATCATAAAATGATATAGAGAAATTTGTTAAACTTTTACCTAAATAAATTTTGAGCTTAACATCTATACATGTGTAATTAAAAAAACAGCATTTCACTCGTAATCTTTAAATATATTCACTTATTTCGTATTGATTCTCGATATTCATTTTTAGAGATCTAATTAATTTGTAAAATATGTCATTTTCACACGTTTATTAATAAACTAAAATATAGCAAGTGGACGACACATTAGGGCTTTGAAATAAATAAAAAATAAAAATAAATTGATAAAGATGAAATAAAAAAGGGATATAGAGGCAAATGGACATTTTGTAAGGATTTTTTTTAAAAAAAAGAGTCAAAGTTTTATAAAATTAGTAAAATGACCGTTTATTTTAATAAATAAGTAGTCAATTGTTGATTAACTTAATAGTTAATCAGTAATTGACTAGTGGTTAATTAGTGTCAATCACTGATTGCTAACCTCAATCACTGATTCACTTAAATTTATCACTGATTAACTCAGTAATTTTTTAATGTTAATCAATATTAGTTAATAATTAGCCGAAATTAATTAGCAAAATGGTCCTTTCTTTTAATAAATAAATAGTCAATCACTGATTAACTTAATAGTTAATCAGTAATTGACTAGTGGTCAATTAGTGTCAATCACTAATTGACTAACCTCAATCACTGATTCACTTAAATTTATCACTGATTAACTCGGTAATTTTTCATTATTAATCAATATTAATTTATAATTAATTGAAATTAATTAATAATTAATCAATTTCAATCAATAAATTACATATTTATTAATAATAAATTATTAGTAAATTATGAAAATGAATAGGTTAATCAATAATTGAATGACCGACAATCAATCATTAATTGACTATTAAAAAAGGCTATTTTACTAAAATAAAAAAAATTATTAAAAAAGTTGTTAAAAGACATACATTTACCTAGTTTTCTCATAAAAAAAACCACATTGGAAGATCCACTTAAATATTTTTTTTTAAGATTTTTTAGATCTATTTATTTCATTTATTATATAGATCCTTTTTATTTAAAAATATACAGTTTATTAATATTAACATTTGAAAGTATATATTTTATAAATATCCTGAAAACTCTAAATATGAGTATATAGAGAAAATAATTGAAATAATAAACAAACCAAGAGAATAATTAGAGTATGCCTCGGCTTAACCAAACCAGCTTGGCTGAGTAAAAAGCATTATATATGGCTTGAAAAAATTCAAACCCAAGGAAGCCTCCCTCGGATGCAGAGAAAGAGGGAGAGAGAGAGAGAGAGAGAAAAGGGGGGGAAGACAGAGATCTTATCCGAAGAGGTTAGAGGTGGGTCCCACCCACAATGTGGATAAGGCTTACGGACCCAAAAAGTAAAAATGGGAATAATTTCCACGTAATCCCTCACCCGACACACCATCAAGTCTCTCCCTTCTGTTCCCTCAAACCGACCACTTTCCTCAACGTGTCATCATTCTAAACCATTCTTTTGTGATCCACGTGGAAGATCTTATTGACCTCCTCATTTTTTTGCTTCCGGGCACCTCGGGCAGGGCACGGGCAGCCCCTTCTCTCGGACTATGCTGTTGTGTTTCTAATCCGTATGTCGACTGAACACCTCTGCAACCCCTCAACCGTCGGATCTCCCCTTGATCAAATCTCGATCTTGCGTTACTGATTTTGGCTTTTCTTTTTTTGCTCATCAAAATATGATTTTGTTCCTATATTTTCAATTGCAATACGTTAGAATAAACTAGTATGAGAATTATTTTATAATACTTCGAATAATATGATAGCTTTTGTTTTTTTTTTTTTTAGAAAAGGGACTTATGGGTAGTTAGTTAGTTATTGCTAAAATTTAATATAAAAATAAAAAGTATTTTTTTATGAAAAATCTGTAGAATTTGATATACTTTTAAGGCATAGTTTTATTCAAACCTCATTATGTAGAATTCTTCCGAGTCCTTTATACTAGTAAGGAATTTTTTATTAAGAAAAATACACCAAATGGCATATTCTATAAGCATATAGCATATTATTTAAAAGTTGGTAAATAATAGTATGTTTTAATTTTAAATTTCAAAAACAAATACTCTTTTCCAAATTTACCCTTTCATTTTTGGGTTTTCACTTTTTTCTCTCTCAATAAAACTCAAATCTTTTTCTCTCTTCTAAATCATGAACCTCTAGATCTCTCTCTCTCCCGATTTTCCTCTCCCTCCTCTTTTTCTCTCTCCATCTCTCTCGCTCTTCTCATTGTCATCATAAACGACGCCAATCGGAGCTCGCCTTTGCAATTCTGGTTCACTTCAAGATATTGTCGTCTATCATCGAGAGCAGTAGATTTGTTGCAAATCAGATTCAGAGTTGTGAAGACTAGGGTCACGAATTGATGAATCTGTGAGTTTTTAGAGAATCGCAACAAGATTTTTCTAGATCTGTAAAGTTGCGTCGTCAGTGCTGAAGGATCTCATTGGAGATTGTCCACATCGGAGATTGCTCCGGGACCGTACGATTCGAGCCTTGGTCGGATATCACAAACTGTTGCGCAATTTTTGTGATGGAGGATGGACGGCGGCTGTTTTAGGTGCAGCGTGAGGCCATCGGTTGTAGCCATTATTGCCGGTTGAGGTAGTTCCTTTTTTCTGTTTTTGGCCAAGATCTATCGACGGCGAGACGTGCTTGATGGAGTCACGGGCCATGGAGAAAGATCCGGTGATGTCAAGACAAAGACGACTCGAGTTCTTTCTCAGAGATTTCCTTCTCGACCGTGGATTTGAGATCGTGGACGAGTAGATCCGAAGTTGGTTGTCAATTCTTTATGCAGGTTTATTCTCTGGCGATTTCAATCTTGGATAAGATTATGACATTTCTGGTTATGAAATTTGCAATTTTGTAAAATTTGATATTGTGATTTTATAAATATGATAAATATTATATTTACCAGTAAATGCTTCACTGAATCCAATTCTTGATCTAGTAAATATTGTATTTATCTGTAAATGTGAAATTTACTGGTAATAAGGTATTTACCAATCGCCGGAGTCGCTCGCTAAATTTTTAGATAAATATGGTAAATACTGTATTTACCAATAAATATGAGATTTACTATTAAATACAATATTTACCAGTCGTCGGAGCCGGTTGTCTAATTTTTAGATAAATGTGATAAATACAATATTTATCCATCGCCGGAGACGGTCATCAAAAAACGTTCACCGGCCGCCAGAGCCAGTCTTCGAAGCTAGTCATGGTGGACTTGACTATAGAGAAAGGAAGATAAGGAGGTAGAAAGGATATTTAGGGGTATTTTTTATTTTTAATAATATTTAAAACTTAAAATATCAAATTATGTTATAATCTACCATTTTAAAAAAATTTATTATAATTTACTTAACATCCTACTAAATATGTTATTTCATTCCTTATCCCTTTCATTATATCCTATCATTTTCTTCTTGTTTTTTTTTTTTTTGTCTAATATCATTTTTTCTTGATTAGAATTTAAAAGATTGCCATAAATAAATATAAACAAAACATCAAATTAAATTTTATAAAACTATCATATTTTTTTGATTTAAATGAACTTTCATCGAATCGTATGTTTGTTTCACACTTAAGTTGTGTATGTGAGAAAAAATATAGTCATAAAAAAGTTAAATTTAAATTTTTATGAGAAAGAATACTGTAGTAATAAGACTTGACTTGTGATTTACGGGTTCATTTAGTTCATTGATTCGAGTTTTTAATTTGAGTTGAGATGTGACTTTATATGAGAGCTTTTTACTGTAACAAAAAAATTAGATATGACTGTTTTTGAGAATTTTTTACTGTAACAAAACTCAAATTCTAAACTCGAATCGGTAAAATGAACGGAACCTTAGTTATAAAATGAAAAAGATCATAGAGTCCGTTTAGTTTGCTGATTCAAATTTTTAATTCGAGTTGAGATGTGACTTTATGTGATAATTTTTTTTCTATAATAAAAAAAATTAAATATAACTGTAAACTCAAATTCTAAATTTAAATCTGAACGATATTCTAATAATTTAAAATTGTCTTTTTTTTCCATTAGATAGATCAAAACTACATAATAATAATAATAATAATAATAATAATAAATGCAAGATAAAGGTAATAAAAATCCTCGTAAGATTTTTTTTTTTTTCATATTTATACTACAAAAGAAAATTCTATTCACACGCGTTTTTTTTGTTTTTTGTTTTTGTTTTCGTGTTTGTACGATGTGATGGAAAAGGAGGGTAACAATTTAAGTAGGATGTGACGTGAAGCAGCAGAAAACAGGACCTTTTTTGTGTTGAAAAGAATTTGGAAGCAACATTTGTACTAATATAAATTATATAATAGTGGGAAGTTATCAGGAAACGTTTCCATGGTTCAGTACAGTTTTTGGTGACCTGTTCTGGATAAGGCCATACCGTCTTTTCTTGTGCATTTCTTATTATTTATTAAATTATTTAATTACATTAATCTTTACTTAATGGAATTTATAAAATCCCATTACATAGAATTTAATTGTTTTCTTTGTTGTTTACCACTGACAAAAATATAATTAATAAATAAACCTAAAAATGGCTAATTAAAAAATAACAAAATGTTTATATATATAAGGCTGTCTTCACCAGCGCTATCCTCTCTTCTCTCTCTCTTTCCTTCTTCTTCTCTCTCTCTCTCTCTCTCTCTCTCTCTCTACATAGCTCTTGTTTGCTGAGAAGATCTGGTGGTCATCCATGGCCGTTTTCCACGCAAACTCCGTCAATTTCTAACTCTCTCATATCACTTACTCTCTCTGCTCTTTGTTACTTCTTCTGATCTTCTTCGCCGGAGATCTTCACGAACGGCTCTGATCAGGATCGGAATTTTTCACACAGAGTCATGTCGATCGCATTGGACAATAACCGCAGGATGGATATGAAGTCCTCGGGAATCATGCGCGGCTTAGTCTTCGATTCGCCGGTGGAAGGGAGGATCGCCGGCGCTGGTGATTCAGACACGGTTAAGGAATCGAACGCGTGCAATAATGAAACTTCGTCGGCGTCGGCGTCGGCGTCGGCGTCGGCGTCGTCTTCATCGATCGGGAAGAACAGCGATTTGTCGGTGAGATCGTCGTCGGACGGCGATGATTGCGAGGAGAATGAGGCTCAGAGCTCGTATAAAGGACCTTTGGAAATGATGGAAGCCTTGGAGGAGGTTTTGCCTATCAGGTAATTAATTTTCTTGATTCCTTCTAATTCTGCTTTCCTTTACCTTTTTTTCCCCCCTTGTAGTTTATAATTCTGTTTTGGTCGTTGCTGAGGCTTTGTATTGTTAATACTTTGAACCTGGTTCTTTTGAAAATGACTACATCTGAACTTGTTACTAGTACAGTTTGTTAGGCAATGAGATCTCAAACCAAAATGTGCAAGTTTAAGGGGTCCCATTTTTATTCCTTTTGCTCCGCATTTCGATCGGTCTGTTCCTTTAATTAGCATAATTAATTTTCGTAGATTTTTAGTGGGAAAAGAAAAAAAATGGATGTAGTTTGGATATTTGGTCAGTTAACAAAAACGTCTTAGATTGTGATTTTAGCGGATTCAAAGAGCACTTTGGCTGTTTGGGGATTTTGATTCCTTTGACGAAAAGAAGAGAGATACCGTTGTTATTTAAAAAGAACAAAAGAAAATGTTACTAAAAAGAAAGTGGAAAAATTGACAAACACTTCACATTCAGTGCACATATAATTGGTTTCCTATCTATTTTTTAGTGTAAAACAACACCATTTGCTATAACTCAACCAAATGATGAAAAGCTTGTAAACTATTGCAGAAGAGGCATCTCAAAATTCTACAACGGCAAATCCAAGTCATTCACGAGTCTAGGAGACGCTGCCTCCACTTCCTCCATTAAAGACATAACCAAACCAGAAAATGCCTATACCAGGAAGCGCAGGAACCTGATGGCTTTCAATCACGTTTGGGACAACAAGAACCGAAGCTTCCCGCTCAGAAGTAATGGAGGAGGGATTTCGAAACGACCCATCAGCTCGAGTCGGAGCTCACTGGCTTTGGCCATGGCAATGAGCAGCTCTGAAAGCAGTAGCAGCACCAGTGACGACTCCTCATCGAGATCCCCGCCTCCACTCCCGCCACTGCATCCACAAGCTAGGGCGTCGTTCCATGTGAAGTCTTCGACATCGCCTCCAAGACATTTCTGTGCATCAAGGTCCTTGTCCTTGGCTGACTTACAACAATGAGCCACTAATTCCACTGCCGCTAACACCCATGCGTTTTAACACTGTTTTTCCTCCCACCTTGTGTTTTGCCTCGGCAGAGTCTGTAAGTTAGTGTGGGAGATGGCATTTCTTATCTGCCTTTCAGTTCGCTTACTAGTTTTCCATGTTCAATGGAAGTTTAGTGCTTTCAAATCGTGTATATGCTTGATGCAAATGTGCTTAACATGTCTAATCCACTTTACAAGTCCGGCATGATCTTTTTCAGATGCAGAGGGTGAATAATATTTATATCACAAAAGTCCCAAAATATTAATGAAGGCTTTTTTTTTTTCTTTGCTCTGCATAATATTATGGGAGCAAAAATAAAAAAAATAAAAATAAAAAAACTTGATAATATGTGTTGATAAAACAAATGATATCAATAAGCCAATGTGTTGATAAAACTCAAAGCATAACTTGTCAATTACAACAAATATACAATAATGAACATATTTCCAGCCCTTTGCGTACAATGTACAAAACATGAAATATACAACACAGCGATAAAGTACTTGTCCTAATTCAAAAAGGCAACCTACATGATGAGCTTAATGAAAAAAGGAAGCTCTCCTCACTGGGAAAGGTTAAAAAAATTGAAAAAATGACTAGCCATTTCTAATGACTTACAACTAACTAGACCTACAAATGCAGATGAAGTACGTCCGTCAAGCATAACGAACCCCTCCATCTTTTCCCTCTCTTTTTTTTTTTTTTTTTTTTTTTTTTTCTTTCTCTCTCTCGAACTCATTCATCTTTTACTTGCAATAACATTTACCAAACTTGGTCGCCCCTCGTGACTCTGATGAAAGACGTTGAGACGGCCAGTTTTTCCACTTCGACTGGAAAACGGCCTGGTGTTCCCTTGCGGATATCAACTTCAAAAGGATACTAAAGTGAGAGATAGATACGTTATCCTGTACATTTAACACTACTAGCTTTAGGCAGAATTCCAGTGAAATTAAGGAAGCTTCTACTTTTGTTGCTGAACAAGGAACTGTGCACACGCGTACTCCAACAAGAAACTTGGTAGTTCAATATCTGAAGGATCTATGACAGGAATAGCCATATCAATATCTTCAGTGGAGAATGGAATGCTGCAATGAGAAAGACAACAGTTGGTAAGTTTTTGAGAACTATAATCTGCATAAGTAGGTCCTTGAACCTATATTTTAGGGGCTGATAAAAAATGTTTTATTAATTCTCTAACCATCTTCCTCTTCTTCTTTTTCCTTTTTTTTGTCTCCTTTTCAAATCACCATCGAATGCAACTTTTTAAGGTTTTATGCGGTTTCAATTAAGAGCCAACTCTTCAACAAGCCGCCACACAGGATTAAAAACTTTGAAACCATACTAGCAATACCATGCCAAATAATTAGAGCCAAGCAAATCACCTCAAATCATCATCAAGCAAGAATGAATTGGAGGTAAGATTGAGGTTGTCCTTGTTCAAAATTTCTCTCATTTGAGAAACCACCTGCCAACCAACCAATCTTCAGAAACCAAAGGGAAAATTCAATGACCAAAAACGCACCTAGTATTAATAACTGAAAATACAACATACCTCGTTTGACACGCTCTGAGTGCCGTATTTGTCATCCCAGTACATAGTACTTATTCGATAGATTTGCCGGATGGTCAATGCCTATAAAAGACCACCAAAATGAGTTTTAAAGTCGAAATTCACCGTTCTTTTTCTCACTAAAGGAGGAAAAAGTACAAACAGATGGGAAAGATGTAGAGATACCGGACAAAGATCCTGCTTAATCTCTTCTAGAGATTTCTTCTTCTTCTGGTGAATTACCTAAGTCAATTACATTACGCAGAAGACAGATCTTAACTAACCATAAACGGCTCTTTTGAAAACAAAAACAAAAATGACTTTAGTTTTATACCAGAAAACCAACAGCTTGCCTGATGTAGTTTAGCTCATGCCAAGAGGTTCCTGCAAACTACATCGCACAAAGATTCAAAGAGAGTATGCAAGGTTAGAATTTATTGGTGACATGCCAAGGGAAATCAATCTTACCTCCTCCTTTGCATTAACTATCCATTTCTCCAATTCTGCTAGACCAGATTTTACATATTCCCCATTTGAAAATGTGCAACATTCACGTCGCAGCAGCAGGCTACCAAAAAAAAAAGAAAGAAAGAAAAAAAGAAAATTCAACTCAGTACTGTCATTCTTACAACTGAAAAAACGACCAAATTAGAAATAGCATACAAAGATGATGAGCTCTTGCCTGTTGAACAATGATATGTTAATAAAAGAAAACACCTGGGTAATCAGCTTACGGATGAAAAAGGAAGGTACCTGAATAATGTAAATTTAGTCAGAAAAGGAGAAACTATAAAGAAAGACGATAAATAGGATCTTTCAACTTTGCAGTCAAGACCATAACGACTTCTTTCAACTAATCCCGGTTGGTCATCTATCAAGTGGCGCACTAAACAACTGCACCCTCTTTATCAGAATTCAAGCTTAGAAAACAATTGAATTAACAGACTGGTAATGTCTTTTTTCTCCGCGGAGTATTAGAACCTTTTAATTTTTTGGATTAGCTTTGGAAATCCCCCAACTTAAATAGTGGGATTGAATTTGGAACTGGGGGCACCCAGAGTTTAGATGCTTGAAAATGCAAAGACCAACAAAGCTCGGTGCATATCCAATAGACCGGGTTACGACAAGAATTCAAAAACTTGATATGATAAGATAATGGAGTTCCAAATTCTATAAAGGCCAAATGATACTCTCCAAATTTAACTAATTATGAAATGAAAAGTAAATCAATTTCAAGTTCTATCTTATTGTTTGTTGTTACTATTGACGGTTTTTGTTTCAAAAAAAAAAGTAAACAACCAAACAAAATACCGCAATTCATCCAAATATTTCACAAAAGAAAATAATAAATGATGAATTTATAACACAAGTATATAAAATGAAAAATGTTAAACGCTACGTACATGATTTCCGCGTAATTGACTCATAAGAGAGTCCAGAAACTTGATTATATTCTCCCACTGATTACCAGCCGTTTGTTGAGGAGCACCACTAGGCGATCTGGATGACTTTCCAACATGAACTCTTGAAGTTTTTGGTGCCTTTTAAAGTATCAAAAAAATATTACGATGTCAGTAAAATCCCATAGACAAACAAAACCAAACCGGTTAAAGGAGCACGCAATCAGACATTATCCTACTATTTCAAAGAGTGAAATAGTTTTCCAGAAGAACCCTAAAAGAAAACTGTTAGAATGTTTATGTGCACGCTTAATCATTAATTTAAAAAAAAAATACTTAAAGCTGGCACATAATCACATAATCTATAGCATCAGCATATCGGCCTGTATACGAAACTCAACCTGAATGCATAAGCCCAACAGCGGAGACAATTCTTTCTTCAAATTGTCACGAATTAAGCCAAAAATCTTCTCTACACAAGCAGTTAATTGTTGTTTGAATAGTATAGCTGGATATCTTGCTTCGACATGCGCTACACCATCTTCAAACCCAATATATTTGAAAGAAGATTTCAGCCCCTGAGGATGGAAGAAAAAACTAAAATCACGGGATCATATAAAGCTAACATGAAAATTTTGGTTAAAAAAACCTTCAGGTATATTTAGCCAAGAGTTGCAAATAACGCCAGAATTTTTAAAACAGAAATAGGAAACTAAAATCAACTGGGGAATGACAGACTAAACACAGATGACAACAATGGAAGATAATGCATATCTAAAAAGACCCAAAGTCAGTGAATTTTCTTTGTAGAAATTCTTCTTAAATATGATATAGTGGCTCGCAATTCCATTCTGATACAAAGCCAGACCGTCTTATTACCAGGCCAAGGAAGCAAGAATTTTAAGATTTAACAAAAATATATTACCCACAACAATGTAAGACAACTCCTTTCACGAACCACAGAGAGAGAGAATGCAACTTCTATTATATAAAGAAAATTCAACAATTACTGAAGTCCGGGTAACTTACATGCCCAATCCTGCCAGCCAACCCAGTGGACCCAGCAGAACGCTGAGGAGTTGTAGTCAGGAAACCATTTGATCTTAAATTCCTTTGAAGGAGGCATAGAAGTGCTGAGGCATTGGACAGCCAATATGGCAACGTAATGTTCTCATCACCAACCTGAAACAATATGACAGCATACTTTTTGATGTTCCATAATCACTACGCTATAATCCGCCAATTCTAAATTGAAGACCACAGCAGCATAGCTTAAACATTTTTTTCCCTTTTAATTCTTTTCCTAAAGTTAAAACTAGCTGTACCGCATAATTTAATGAAGAGGTAAAGTATCAGTTCAACAGCAAAAGAGAACACAGAACATATACCAGATCAGTTATTAAGAAGTGAGTACCTTCAGAACGTCATTTATTCCCTCAATTATATAGTCAAAAATGGCTGTTCGCTCAGACTCAAAAGCATGCCAATGAAGAAGACATTTGTATATAATACAAGCTGCCAACGGTTTGCCATCTTTAAACCCCAAATATTCCTTGATACACCTTGAAAGAAATTCATAGTTCTCCTGTACATGAAAATTGCATTTATGGTTTACACCATAGGATCAAAAATATATGGAGCGTTAGGGGGGGAAAAAAAGAACATGGCTGTCACATCTGAATCAGAAAATGTGCTCTTTATGATGATTTTACAGCCAATTTCAATAACACAGGTACATTTAAAATCCTTTTAGTAAAACAGAACAAAATAAAAAATAAAAAAACCTGATGCCTATCTGCTGCCAATTTTGATCGGCGTGATTCCGACAATGCAAGTGAAAACGGCACAACTTTTGTAGGTGTGGGTGTCTCCTGCGTCATTCATATACCACATAAGAGGAAAAGAGCAATTTGGAAATTATGCTCAAGAGTAATAAATGCAAAAAGATCGCGACTTACAAATACCAACTTCCGCTCAGTTTGGGCAAGAATAAGTGCACCGGAATTCTTCTGTTCCCGTTTAAAGAGGAGAAATTCACACATTCAATAAAATTCAAAACCCCATCTCCATATCAGAGAAAAAAAACAAAAAAAAAGAAATTATGTGTTCTCATGTGATCTTGATCGCAGCTTACCTCAGGCTGAGCCTTTGCAAAGCCTGGACGATTGCTTTTTGGAGACATGCTCAAGGCTTTTTGCCGCATAATATGATTCTCGTCTTCTAAGAGTGATACTTTCTCTTCAAGACTAACATCAAAAAACAGATAATTACTAAAACAGCTCTGGATCATAATGTATATCCAATCCTTTTCCTTTGAAATGCAAGTTTAAACGTATTTTACATGAAAAAATAAATTTAGACGGACAAACATGAGCAATGAAATTGGGACTACTTTAAACACAATTGCAACAATGCAAAATAACTTATGCATTTCAAACCACACCCTTGTTTGTACTATGATAATGATATACGACACCAAATAGTTGACTGAACACAAATTTCTAGCACACATAGATGAATAAGAAAGGATATCTTTATCTAATATAACTGATAAATCTCCAAATAATACAAGAAAACTTAACAACGATGGTACTCGAGAGACCACCAACTCTCTCCAGGAAACTCTAACTGCTAACGAAATTCCAACAACCACTAACAAACTACTAATTCCCTTGACCCCTTTTGTAATTTTTCTCTTCTATTAATCCAAGTTTCCAGTTTCTTATGAAAAAAGCCACTAATTCCCTTGACAAACTAACAAGTCAAATCAATAGTATCAATGATCACGAAGTGAGATCTTCCCACTTTAGCCAAAAGAGGGAAAAAAAAAGGTGAAATCTTTTAAGGGGAAAAACATAATTTAATCATTTAGTAAAACAATACCTTTTTACATTGTGCTTAAGCTGGGAACACTTTTCTTCAAATTCCCTCAACTTCTCAATCATTTCATTACTGTTCTTTTGCACCTTGAGAAGCTCAGTCTCCAGATCCGAGTTCTTCTTTTCTAGAGTTTTCAAAGAACTCTGGACATAAAAAGAAACAAAATAACAATGTTCATAAAAAGCAATCGGCAGATTTCATAGCCACAAACATGGTAAGTTTGAGTCTCAAACTATTTCCCTGAAAGACATGTAAATGATCGTGGAAAAATTCTCAGATGAACAAGCCATAACGAAGTACTGGCCTTGAATTAATTCACAAGTTTCAGTTCAAGCATACATCTACTGCCAACTTTATCTGTGTTTTGACACTAGTTCTAGATGAATATGATAGGAGTTCCCACTTTCTTTGATTATTTTATGTTGGAAAGATAGGAGATGAAAATCTTGTTTGTTGAATCTGGCATGTCCTTAGTTCTTTGTACATTTCTTTTTCTTTTTATTTTCATTTGGCTTAGAGGATATCTTATCCTTTATTACCTAAAATAAAACTAACGTGAAAAGAACAACTTAAATAACACTAACCCTCAATAACGCATTTTCCTTTCTCAGTTCAGCCATTGCTATGAGTTCTCTTTCCATAGCAGATTTCTCCTTCAAAGACAATTCTAATTGATTTTGGAGCACTGCGTTCTTATTACACTCATTGATTGTCGCCAATTTTGCTGCATCTAACTCAAGGTTCAATGATTCCAACATCTTTTGAAGTTTTGAAATCTCTCCTGACTTGGCCTCTTCATTAGAAACCTGTGCCCGTAACAATCACCCAAAAAAAGCTTGAAGCATTAATGAGGACTACAGGATTGCCTTTTATGTTGAATCCAGTTAAAATGAAAGAGAACTATGGAACACCCAACACTCTGATCAAAAGTAGAAAATGCATGTGTTCATCATGTGGTAGCTGAAGGCAGTCGTGGATAAAACACCAAAATGCATTTAACATAAACAATGGCCAAATACAATTTTTAACAGGTCTCACGAGAAACCAATATATGACAGCAACGCAAAGTACTACCAAAAAATGAAATACAATACCCGCAATCTTTTCTCTAGATGCAACCGCCAAGTCAGATCTTCCAGCTGCTTCTCAAGTTTTGTCTTAGCTAAACGCAAGGCACCAGCTTCATTTGCCTCCTAAAAAAGATGGATATCAACGTAAGAAACCTTTTATTGTGAGGTAGTACCTAACAAGAAAAAGACATTTTTTTTTCTTTTTACCTTTCTAAGCTTTCGGAGCTCTCTTTTCGCCAATTTTCGCCTCCAAAGACATTGTATTGCTATAATTGAATTTTGGTCATGGCGGAAAGATGATCGAACCTTGCACATCCTCCACCGAGCCTACACATATTATATCATGTCAAAAGAGAGACAACTGGTGATGTACCATAAAGTCATCAGCAGAAAAGCCTATTAACCATGTAAAATATTTACCTGGATTAAAGTAGCAGCTTTATGCTTTTTCCCATGTAAAAATCTCTGGCGAGTTGCGAAACTGCGAATGCAGGACTGTATGGTAACAGCAGCTAAATAGAGTTGCAAATATGCCCGCCTCAAAAGCCACCTTCGGACACGTTTCTGTATTAATAGAGCAGCTGCTTCCTCTCGCTTTACAATGTACATCTTTCGTGCAAGGCATCCTGCAACATGAAAACTGTCAAGAATTAAACCAAATCAAAATAAACAAGGCTCTACAGAAGGATAATTGCATTACTGGCGTGCTTTAAGGTAGCCTGAGGATAACCACATTGACCTCTATTGACGAGGTCCATCTAACTGTTTAAAATCATTGACCTCTAGAGAAGTATTTGAAAAGAATGATAAAATCACCAACTAATAGCATCAGGATTATCGGAGCAAAAATAGCATCAGGATTAGTTCGACTCCTGCCCGAGCTCTAACAACCTTTCCCCCAAGAAAAGGCCCAATACTCGTGCAGGCTCTACATGTCCTATCACCAAGAAGTTCTTATTTTATTCTCTGACCATTCTACTAACGGTACCAAAATTCCCAAAGAGCATGTGAAAAAGAAAGTGAAAAAGAAAGAATGACGGTGATAATTGATGCAAGCGTATATGTGTAAATGAGCGAATGATGACAACAAATGCAGCGACGTAATTACACATTTTCTAGCCTGCATCAAACAAACGAACAAGAATTTTGTTGTTCCACTCCTGGGACCCAAGATTACAGCGTGACAATAAAGGGACACAACAAAATGACAAGCAAAAAGGACACGAGGAAGAAACTTGAAGAAAGAAAACAAGGAAGGACATAAGAAACAAAATGAATTCTGATAAAATTCCAGTAGAAGCGAAAGAACCTCTGCAGTAAGCTTGGAGTACAAAAGCAGCGGCCTTATTTGAAATAAAATCTCTGCGAGCAATAAACGTTCGTAATCGACGTTGAACAAGCTTTGCAGCACTGTCTAAAACCTCAGCTCGACGGGAATCCAAAACACCAATTTGCCCAGCCCTAAGAAAAACCTTGGTCCTACCCAACTGCAACAGTAGAGAAGAATAATAACTAAAACAATCCACAAATACAATAAACTGAAGGACAATATGTAATGAATCAGATAGACTACACCTTGATGAAAAAAAGGACATCCATCCACACACATTACGCAACTAAAAGAAACAAACCTGAAAGTTATCAAGATTTAACTTCTTCAGAATTTTCTCTGCGATGGCTTTTTCATCATAACTACATGTATACAAAAACAACAAGTAACAACATTAGCAAGCACGAGGTTTGACATTGAAAGGGGTACCAAAGAAGTTAGTCATCTGGACAAAATAATTGCTCGTACTATCATAATGTACATATGCAGCAAAACTGAACAAAAAAACAATGAAGCCAATAAAACTAGCTGCAGCATCTTTAAAAAAATGTAAAAGAGACTCCCATGATTTAAGATCTTCAACAAAGCATTCACAAACCCACCTTCCATCCATGAACTCTGGAGCCAATATCCCAAATCGATCCACAAATTCTGAATATGTCTTTCGTGTGGGATAACCAGCTAAACTTATCCGAACAGCCTCTAAAACACCCTAAACCAAAGCAATTTAAAGATAATAAATTATATCAATAGGAAATCGTGAGAAAGTAAACACTGACGCAGTTACTAGAGGGGAATCGGATAGTTTGTAATTAAACATGTAACCAATCATCATTTTTTTGTTGTAAACTCAAGCAACTTTCCACTTCGACGCACTCCATTCCATCCCCAAAAAAATTCCCAACTTTTTGAAACTCCGGTTCCTTTTATGTGTTTTACAAATTGAAAGTATATGACACTTCACCACTCTAAAGCAAAACCCATGCAAGTAAAAGAAGCCTGCATGTCATTAAATTTCCCATAACGGGGGTGGTTGACATTTTTGAAAAAGCTAAATCCGAGCTTCACTGTGGCTTCGACTAACAAAGAATTTCCCCTTTCGCTGATAATTCTAAATTGGATGGAAGTTATAGGAAGATAATGCCATTTAGGTTTTTATTCTTTGCTTGCAGAGCTCATTCTTGTCTGCCTCTGCTTCAATTGATTGTTTTGAGGATATCTCACCATTTTCCTTGTATTTGATTTAGTTATCAGTGAAAGGATTTTTTCTTATTAAAACCAAAAAAAAAAACAACAACAGCAGCAGCTAAATTCCCATGACAAAGAGAGTGCTACTGACCCCACAGCGCAGCTGATGTAGGATACTCAGGTTCTCAAACTTTTGTGGTCGATTCAAGGAGTTTGGTTTCACACAACGTATATAATGTGGCTGTGTTGAGCTGAGTGTCTCCATCAACGATTGAAGTTGGTGCTGCAAGCAGATACAGGAAAACGAAAAGTTCTCTTAAATCCTATTTTCACCCAAAAAATAAGAAAGAAAGAAAACCTATACAGAATAGTCATGCAATTCACCAACCATTTTGTAGTTTCCTATTTGAAAACAGGTAAAACAAAAAATAATCATCACTATTACTATCTTTTTAAGTTCACTAATTGGACAAAGACAAGTAGATATGACTAAGAAGCCATGCAAACAAACGAAAAGTATGGGTTTCAACAAGTCATTGTAGAACAGAATAGCAAAGTAATTGTCCTGTTCAAGAAAACAGTGAAAAAAACTCAGGGAATATTATGGTTCTCCCAAATATTACAGGATAAAAGGAGTTAACTCTTCTTTTCGTAAGACTGCATTAAAAATCATTTTCTATTATTATTCAAAGCTCTCTCTTAAGATCTCGCCGTGATAATAAAAATAAACATAAAAGACACTATAGATCGACTTCATCCCTCACTATCCCTTTTGTCATCCTTATCAGAAGACATGTTAGTAATCAATTAACTTACAAAAAGGACCACAATTTTATTAAGAATGCAAAAATCATTTACCTTAAATCTTGAGGACACAGAAGAAAATTTGTATGATGATCTCAAAGATTCTTCCGGTAGTGAGGGGAAAAGACCAGCGATAAGGGGGCATTTAGAAGAAGACAACAGATTGCAGTGCTCTACCACAACATAATCACGATTTTTATCTAAAAAGGTATCTGTGTGATAAGTAACCTACAAAAGAGTAATACACAAAAGAGTTATTATTAATATTTTCAACATCAGCGGAAAGCACTTGAAAATATGTTGGGATATATAACGTGCCTTTCCAGCATAATGAGAAATGGTAAAGTCCGTTTCTGAAAATTTTGCCTTTTCCAACCTTGGATGAGAGCGAAAATGCTGAAACAACTTGGTTGAAAAGGTTTCATGTGTCGATCTTGGGAACATGCTGCAAAAGTAAGAAAATCAGGATAAGGATAAATTGCAAGCAATCATCATTTAAAATAACACGCACCAATTTATATTGAAGAACTCAAACTGTACCAAGCTTCATCCAAGAGACCAATTATGCCCATAGGTTTCTGCAAATGACATTTATTATAGCATAAGGTCCAACAGCAAACTGACAATAGAAAAGTGTGTATCAATCAAAATTCTTAACATTCTAAACATTTTGCACTGGGACTCTAAAATACTGAAGATGTTTTTTATAAGAAAAATATTGAGTTCCTCAACTACAGTAGTCATGTGCCTTTCAGTGTTCTAGCTACAAGCTTAAATTTACAAACAGTACGATGGTGAAGAGGAAAAAGATCAACTCCCAAGGTGAGAAAGAAGGATAACAGTGGATTGTGTATTATGATTACAGCTATCCCACAGAATTTGGTCGAAAAAATATTCAGTTAATGAACAAAACCTTCTCAATTAAATCAAGAACATCTTGATTATCTATAAACTCAATGTAGCTCCAATTGATTTCCTCTTTGCTGTATTCATCCTGCTCCATCTTGAATACATGCTGGAAATATAGAAAAGAATAAGATAGCATAACAATATCTTAACAGATTTATACTAGAAGATGAGTATATCATACCTCATTAAAGTGTTGCTGAAGTTTTTCATTAGCAAAGTTGATGCAAAATTGCTCAAAACTGAGAAACAGAAGAAGAAAAATCGATATAAGGATAAAGCATGACAGCAAGCAAGCCAAATTCTATCTCTCAGAATAATCAAAGGGGAAAAAACTGAGACAAAGCCTTCACCAACAAACCAATGAAAATGATAATTTAGTAAAGGTTAGCAGTGAAAATCATTGACTACAATGGATAATGCAGGCTGAGAAGTGCAGAGACCTTCTGAAACAAGCAGTTAGGCAACCTTTACAGTTGAGCACATGAGTAGACTAGACATGACATGCAGAACACAATCCTTTTGTGGTTCTAGTACGAAATTCATATTCATGTTTTGCCAAGGCATGCCGTCTTCTATTGCTATTCTTCTCATATGTAACATTTTAAAGTGTTTTATTTGTATCAAAGAAAACCAACACTTATATCTCAGAATCATCCCAAAAACAGTCGAAAGAAAATCGTGTCAAATGACATGATAGCTCAACCTCTACACATATATAGAATATAAATACTTACAGGAACAAACATCTCTTAAACAAAATTAAATTAAATTTTATAAAAATCATGAAATGTAGCCAAAACTTACCTATTATCCTTAAAACACTCAAAACCATAAATGTCCAAGACTCCAATTTGTACTCGGGAATTCAAATCTTGCCCAACCGACCGATTAATTTTATCAACCAGCCTGGGAAAAAAAATAAAAAAACGAAGAATATTACCTAAATCTCCGCATAAAAAAACATGCAAATGATTCTTTTGCAAAGGGTTCAACCATATACCAGTCGAATAATCGAGCATAAACAGTTTTGGCAAGTGCATCTCTACCAGCAACAGCAGCATTACAATCAAGAGCTTTAACAATACTTCCTTCACGGGTTTGAATTGAACGAGTACATAGTGTTGCTAGCAAGAGCTCTGCATCACACCTGACCAAAGAAATAAGCAATTAGTCAAGGTAAATTAGGACCATACTATTATCATCAGCGACTTGGTTCAGACTTTTCTCATTCCAAATTTTAATTGATAATCACTTCTCAATGTACTTGAAAATAAATTTCAGTGATTTCACGTTTCTCATCAAAATTCAGTTATATTGCAGTTGGAGATTTAACATTACAAAAATCATATCCAAGTACGAATAGTTACGAACTAAAAATACTGATTAATCACTTACATGAAAAGACTAGCAGCCAGCTGCAGATGAAAGGTTGATTTTTTATCCTTTAAGACTGAAGAATCATGCTCTTTCCCAGGAGAAAATTCAATGTTACCAAGATGCAGAATTCCAGCCAAAGTGCGAAAGATGGCTTCCTAATCACAGGGAAATAGGATTAAAAAGAATCATTTTTTAAAGTAGAACCCATATTCCATTGCATTGTATAGTACAAGAAATCTGCAACTGTAATGAAATATCATATTGCACAAATTTTTAAAACCTGGTCTTCACGACTAATGCCAACAATATCCATTGCCCTTCTAGTCTTAATATACTCCTCTGCACTGCTTACTCCATCTAGTTCATAGGTCTTACTTTGATTTAAGTAATGGAAATGACTTGGATGACCTATCTCATATTTTTCTGCATCCTGGACATAAGGAAACCCCAAGAAATGTCAATTGGCTTGAACAACCCAGATATATGTGAACCATAAATTATATACATGCACTTGCACATATGAAAACATGCAAAACTTAAGACCACTCATTACTTAAAACATTGTGACTCAAAATGCCATAGACTGTTAAGCAGATGCATACAGACCTAATCCTACAAAAAAAAAAAAAAAAACCCACACAAACATGCATCATTAGACATGACCTTGTGCAGTGACAAGCTGATGCACATAGATAGACAACACCACTTACACAATTACAGTTAATATTGATGCGCTACAGGCTAGCAATGAATACACGCGTGCATGATCAAAACAGATATTTCATAACGAACGAAAAGGAAAATAGAAGCATGGATTCATCTGCCCATAAATCAAGTTACATTCGATCCTTTCACATAATGAGACACAAACAGACTAGAACAGTATGTATCTGCATAGACAGAGATGTGTGTGTGTGTGTGTGTGTGTGTGTGGAGACACAGAGAGAGAAAGAGAAAGCACCCTTCCAGATGCACACAACTGATAGAAGCAGTGATAATTCCTTTCAGGATCTGTTATCTGTACGACACGGGATCGTTCTAATAGGTATGTTCTAATTGCAGCACCTGATATTCTACCATTCGCATCAAACTGGATTTCAACAAACTTTCCAAAACGACTGCACATGGAAACATGAAAGTGAGAACAACAGCAATTTAGACCAAAATAAGCAAAGAACAATTTAGCAGAGATCTAGCAAGCAAACCAAGGGGCTAATGGCAAACCTTGAGTTGTCATTTCTTACAGTCCTTGCATTACCAAATGCCTCCAAAAGTGGATTTGACTGAAGATACAAAAAAAAAAAAATGAAAATACATAAATCAATAAAACCAAAACTAAGGAAGCACCAATGACATACTGATAAGACTAGAATATAAATATGGAAAATCTTCCCATTACGAGATCAACCAGTTCACAAGTTTCAATTCAATCTAGAATGCAACGATCAGGTCAAAGAAAATGAATATACTTGATGAAGCGGACACCAATGACATAACTGATAAGACTAGAATATAAATACAGAAAATCTTCCCATTACGAGAACAACAAGTTCACAAGTTTCAATTCAATCTGGAATGAAACAATCATATGAAAGAAAATTAATATACTTGATGAAGCAGACCTAAGTGCCAATGTTCCAACAAATATCTCATCCTTTAAGTTGTGATTATCTAGCTTGCTTGCTGAAAACTTATGTTTTTTTATTTAGAAACTTTGGGATCTCTCTTCTACTGACTAATAATAATTGACCTGAATCTTTTCAAACTGTTGGGACACAAGAAGTGGATTAAGTTGGGAATAACTTACTTCAAGAACTTGCTGCTCGACAGTTCTGTCATCACCAGCAGCTCGGCCTCCTACATAAGTAAGATACTGCATGATCAGTTTTGTAGTCTCAGTTTTGCCAGCCCCACTTTCTCCACTGACCAGTATAGATTGGCTTCGATCGTCATTCATCATTGCCCTGGATTACAAAATCAAGTGTAAATTGTGCTTCTTGGAATAGCCATATATAGCAAAGGACGTCATTCAGCTTGAAATTGAGTAACATTTAAATTTGACAGACCTATACGACGCATCAGCTACGGCAAAGACATGAGGACTCAGCTCGCCAAATGGAGCTCCCTTATACTGCTCCATCATGTGCACATTGTATAGATGAGGAAGCTTTGTGAATGGATTTACAGCAATCAAAATACTTCCTGTGTATGTCTACCAAAGACAAATAATTCACGCTAACATCATTACAAACCCCATAAAATTAACATGAGGCGACAATTAAAAAAAAACATACAGTAATGATAAATGTCACGGACAAAAGTGAATATAAGGCTCGCAAAGAAAAAGCAATCTCAAAAGAAAACTATACCTTTTATGAACGTAAGTTAAAATTGCAGTTTGGTTTAAAGGCATCACAAGTAAGAACCAACAGAATAAATATGCAGCAGCAAAGCTATTCATTAACTCATCGCAGAGTAGAAGAGATTTTGACAAAAGAATGTTCAAACATCGAACTCGTACTCCTAAGAGTTCGTTCATCTTGAAAGAACTTCAAATTCACTGAATCTCAACTGTTTTTCGATGGAAACTCAATCTCAACCGTTAAAGGAGACCATAAATAGCTCATAATTCGCCCCCACTAACAACCAGTGGAATACCATCACAGTGTTAAATGTGTTCTCCAGATTCATTCACAGAAATAAGCCAGGGGAGACTTCCCTAATGCGGGCCAATGGCAAGTCAATGACTAAACAACTTTCCAAACATCATTTCACATAATCTAACAACAACAGAGCATTAATGGCATTGCCGATTAGAAGTTTAGAACACAGAATAAACGCAAATAAAAAATTACTAACATAAATGTCATTGAGGGCGTATCTCCTTTGAAGGTTGTAAAGAACTCCAGGCTCATTCAAATACGTCAATTTCGTCATGTCGTCAACTCCGCCGTGCTCTTCCTCATCCGCATCCCGCGGAAACAGCTTCTCCGGGGAAGCCAAAACCTACGAACAATCCCACCACGAACCAAAAGAATTTCAAACAAAAGAAATTTGCTTTCCGCGCAGAAACAGCGAGAATTCGAAAACAGAAAGGGAGTGATAACTGATAACCCATTAATCCATCTCCAACCTTCTTTCCCGAAACCGTGAGGACCTGGACTTGCTTGCCGACATAGTCGAAGACTTCCGCGGCTGTCCAAGCCATATCCCTGTCATCGACCCAAACCTTGGAGCCTTTACGGACGCTCATCTTCGGTTCCTGAGTGGAAAAATCAAATTGAAGAAGAAAGGACAACAGAAGAAAACCCCTAGAATCGCGAACCAGAAACGAAGAAATGAAGAAGTGAAATTGAAATTTGAAACCCTAGGGGAAGGTGGAGAATTGCAGAGAGAGACAAAAGAAGAGAGAGAGAGAGAGAGACTTACGGGCATGACCTTTCTGTGGGTGAAATTTTGGGTTCCCGCCCTAACAGGTGTTTAGACTAAAAAAAAAAAAAAAACAAAAGGAAGCTTCTCTCTCTTCTCACAAGTCGCAGCTTTATTTTTTAATAGCTTAATCGACACGTCATCCGTTCAGATACTCTTGTCTTGAGATTTCAGTTTTTATTTTTTGTTTGTTTTTCTTTTGCACCACAAATTTTTATTTTTTTGCATAATATACTTAAAAACTTTTAATTTTAATAAATTATACCGCAAATTCTTATACCAACAGTAATTTAAGTCCAATAATTAATGGAGATGATTAAATTAACAGTTCAAAATACGATATTTACATGTGATATTATTTAAAAAAATGAGCTTTTTTATTTTTTATTTATAAATCTTGTATTTCAAATTGTTAATTTTGATCATTCTTATTAATTATTAGACTTCAATTGCTGTTAATTTGAAAGTTTATGATATAGTTTATTAAAATTAAAATTTTATTATGTATGAAGTAAAAAATGAAAATTTTAAGCTCTATTATGTAATTTACACTTGTTGCTTTCTATTATGTAATATTGTAATTTACACTTGTTGCTTTCTATTATGTAATATTGTAGGCTCCATTCACTTCGCTGATTCGAGTTTAGAATTCGAGTTTTTCTACAGTAAAAAGCTCTCACAAACAATCACATCTAACTTTTTTACTACAGTAAAAAGCTCTCACATAAAGTCACATCTCAACTCAAATTCTAAACTCGAATCAGCGAAGTGAACGGGGCCGTAATTTACACTTGTTGCTTTCTATTATGTAATATTGTAATTTACTCTTTTTTTTACTGTGGTGGTTTATTTATATTAATTTATGCGTCATGTCTACGCTAGACTAGGCCAATGAATGTGACCGTTTGGTTTTTGTTCTGAGCCCTGAGGTTCCGTAATTTTAAAATAAAAATGATAAATAAGGAAACTTCCTTTTTTTTTTCTTTTTCTTTCTCTGCTTTTTTGGTTTTTTTTTTTTCCGTTCTACGACAATAAATGTTATTGGATCCGTAAAAAGAAGCGAAAAAATAAAAAATAAAAGCTGTTGGAATTTGTAACGTCACAGAACGGATTTATAATATCGTCTTATTAACTTCCAAATCAAGTAACCAGTGACATTATCCGGGAAAAGAAAAGGCCAATGAGTAGGTAGTAGTTTATTACGTTATGAAATCGTAGCCCAATTCATTAAAGATAATTCGTAATTATTCTCAACAAAAAAAAATACAATTCACATTTGTTTAAAAAAATATTAATTATAAATTATAAAGAAATAAAATACATTTAATATGGGCGAACTTGAAGGAGAATGTCATATTTCCTAACATTATTATAGAATATTTACCGACGTAACATGGGTTAAAAATGATTTTCTCAATATTAAAAAAATAATAACATCCCAAATTATACCTATTTTTTTAGCAAACACTATGATAAGTGAACTACTATTTTTTTATTGATGAATATTATATTTTTCAGTAAAATATTAATGTATTTTATAAATTAATAATTCATTCATTAATTCACTTGGTATAAAAGTAAATTTTTTTAATAAAAAATACCCCTTTATGAATAACTTGAGAAAATTTAGAAATATACAATTCTAGTCATTTTTAATTTTGACATAATAAATTGCAAGTAGAAATAATCTTGCCTTTAAGGTCCTATTTGGTTTTTATTTTTAAACTTGTGATTTTCATCTCACAAACAATTTAAATTTAAAATTTGTTTCTCTCATAAAATTCTCGCTGATAAATGAAAATCACTTATTTAAACGCGTGAACTAAACAAACTCGTATATGCACAAACTCAGCTCAGCTTGTTTAGTTCGCTGATTCAAGTTTTTAATTCGAATTGATATGTGACTTTATGTGAGAGCTTTTTACTGTAGTAAAAAAGTTAGATGTGATTGTTTCTTAGAGTTTTTTACTGTAATAAAATTTAAATTTTAAACTCAAATCAGTGAAATGAACGGGTCCTAAATTCTTCAATGTGAACTTCAAAAAAAAAAAAAAAAGTAAGAATAGTCTTGTCTTGAGCCAAAAAAATAAAGTAAAGAATTTTTTTTTTTTTTGGGGGGAGACAAATAAGTAAAGAACGGTTTTTGACGAACATAAATGCACGCTCCCATGTCCCGCCACCACCACATGAATTATTCAAATATTACGAGGGAGCCGTGATTGCATAACGTGCAATTATTGTCCCTTCCCCAATTAGTTACCTAATCATCAGTTGCCCTTTGTTTCTTATTAGATGGAAAACGACATACGGCTGTTTCGTTTGAAACTTTAAGGTCATTGCTCTAATTTTCAAATTACAGAGATCTTTCGGTAGGAAGATCTTTGCGCCCTAAAGATTGCTCAAATTCTACATTTGCCTTTTGCAATTTTCATGCGTATCAACCTTTACATTTGTTGTTGTTCTTCTTTTTTTTTTTTTTTAACCGGTGCTGAAACAGAAGTGCTTTACTGCTTTTGCTAAAATTTTGAAGATAAAGTGCAGCACCACGAGGAGTCGTCGTTTGTCAACATAAAAGGTAAGGTGGGTTAAATTTCTTACCAGTTGATTGAAAGCTATATTCAAATTCAAATTATGATTTTATTATAGTATTTTTTATCTCATAAAAAATTTAAATTTTAAAATTTTTTCTCACAGAGTTTCAGTCAATAAATTTAAATCATAATTTGAGTATACATTTCAAACGGATCCTTAAACCCGATTGTATTTGTAAGTGTGAACTCAAAATTTAAAAGTTTAAATTTTTACGAGATAAAATGTTGTATTAAAAAGGTATATTGAGTCGGATTTGATGCTTATGCATGTCCGTTGATAATTCACCAAAAGACTACGTGGCAAAAAGAGAACACACAGAAACAAAAACACCAGTATCACTATCAGTGAGGAGCTCAAAGCTTTTGCTATTATTGTCCACATTTTGGAAGCCCAAAGAGTGTTGGGAGAATCGTCACTCGTCAACTTCGCACATAATGTCAAATTGTCATCTTCAAACTTAATGTCAAATGGTTTGGTTTTCATCAAGAAAAAGAAAAAGGAAAAAACCATGGTGATCGCAAATACCGTTGGATGTACGGTGTAATCTCGAGAATAGCATAATTAGGTATTGTGTCCACATCGGTTAATTAAAAAACGACGGTCCAAACACAAAGTAGTTCTGATAAACCAATAAACCATTCAAGGCGGTATTGAGTACTTGAAAACGACAATCGATGTAATTCCTCTTTGTCTCTTGGGAAAAGCCAAATAATTAACCAAGTAATTGACACGCTACTTATAACTTAATTTTTGTTTTTCTCTTGTTTAACTTCTAAACTCACTGCCTTTCAAGGGCAATTTAGAATACTCATTCACGACACAATCGCTTTCCTGTAACTGTAACGTCTAATGTCGGAGAATCATACATATAAAATATGCTTCTTTTAACATTTACGCAAGAATGAATTTGAAAGTTGTTTAGTTAGGAAATTCGTATCCCGATTTAAATCATAGTTCATGATTTATTACAGTGTTTTCTCTTATAAAAAATACACATAAATTAAAAATAATTATAATTATATAATTTTAATTCATGAACTAAACGTCTCCTTAGTATCGAAGACAAATACAGAAATTGATCCACAATGCAAAAAGGGCAAAATCTATACAGTTGTACTTCTGCAGATTGATCATGACCATGTCAAGATTCAAGGAAGTATGCACAATGGGGATGATTAGGCACGAAATAATCCGCAATAACTTTTTTTGTTTTTTCAATTCCCGCTATAAAGCAGCTAATTAAATTGGTTTTTAATCCTTTCACCTCATTTCTTCCTTACGGCATTTAATATTAAAAATAATTGACTGAGATCGTATATTCAAAATCACGTCCTTAATAACACATACCATGCTTATGATAACGTAAAATCATTTACGTTACTACCAGGCTTTCAGCATTCAAAAAAAAAAAAATGAGGCTTTCAAAGAACAATCAAAAGTATAAATCCTTGTGTTAGTATTGTGGTTGTCGTATGAGAACACTAAAATCTTGTTCACTTCGTAGATTCGAGTTTTCAATTTGAGTTGAGATGTGATATTTTTTAAAAATTTTTCACTGTAGTAAAAAAAAATTTAAATTTGACATTTTCTGAGAGCTTTTTAGTGTAGAAACTTAAAGCTGAAAACTCAAATCGATGAAATGAACGAGCTTAAAGTTTGAATCTCCACACACACACCACCCAAAAAAAAAAACAAAAAAACAAAAAAACAAACAAGACTTTCTGTCCGCGAGAAACATTCACAAATAAACACATTTTTGTTGCTCTTTCTATATATACTAAAAAAAACACATTTTCGTTCAGATATAAAAAATAATAATAAATAAATAAATAAATAAAACATTTTATGAAGGACCATCTAAACATATGATAGAACGTGGTAAAAACAATGTGAACTTCACAAAACATTGTATCCTACCACGATATTTCCAACTAATCTTATATTTGAGATATATGTAGGTAAAAGACACTAACATGAGAAACATAATTATACCAAGAAGTCACTAAAAAATTCAACAAAATTAGGTTGAAGAAAGAGACTAAAAAAGGTCAGCGAGAAGGTGAAAAATTTTCACCAAAACGGTAAATGCGGTAAATCCCTTTCGAAGACTCCTAACAATAAGCGGCCCAAAATTTCATGGGGTCTCCGTTTGTTGAAAAAAAAAAAAATTGTACTCTACCTTTATCTCTTATTCTTAATAAATACTATTTTATTAATATAATTATTTAATTAAAAAAATTATAAACTAATAATAAAAAATAAAAATATTGACCATGCATTTTTAAAAAGAATTTATCAATTAATATTAGCCCGTTAGTTTGAAACGAAAAGGGCAGAGAGATCGCAATAAAGATAATAAAAGATCTACTGGGATTCCCAATATCACTCAAGACAGAGCAATACGGCCCAGATAAGGCTCCACAGTCACACAGTGCATTATTGCTTTGGTGCTGCCATTTTACTCATCAGTCAGTGGTCACGCATACCATGCACCTCTGGCACCTCACTACACTCAATGACCATTTTCTCAAATAGTGGACCCCACCAAACGACAGACACACATTGACAAAATTACTTCTACTACTACTACTGCTGCATAGATATTTATATATTTTTCTAACCCTTTTTACATTGTACAAAAGCCACAACATTCATTCATGAATGTTTTTGAAATTCTATAACTGGTCCAATAATTGATGGGCACATCATTTTTTTTTTTTTTTTTACAATCGTTAACACATTTTTGTTGTCCTACTCTTTTTCCCGCCAATCCATTGTTGAGAATTGAGATTTTCTAAAGGATTTTTTTGTTTTGTTTTTGCTTCTGGGCTCACTCTCACTCCTAAGTGCTGTTTTGGGAAATTACCTCTCCGAATTTGAGGAAGAGCTGGGCATCCGAGGTGCTCATGGATGGGCAATTGACCAAGTGGGGGGTCTTGAGATTTGCATACTCGTCAATGTAGCCTGGCACTTTGGCGGATGGGAGTGTGGATGGTGGTGGGAGTGCCGGCGTCGCCTGTTTTGGCGGCGCCGCGGGTGGGGTGAGGCTGCTGAGGACGCGCGTCACTTCGTGCATTGTAGGTCGGTCGGTCGGCTGTCGCTTGGCGCAAAGGAGAGCCAGCTGAAACACCTTCCTCACTGCTCCTAGGTCCTCCTTACATGTGGCTGTGATCTCGGGGTCTACTGTCTCCATGACAGCATTGTTTGCTGTCTTGGATAATATCTGGGACAAATGTCAAATACTATGTGAGAAACTAGGCAAAAACCAGACCATAACAATCTAAAGAATGCATATTTAGTTTTGTAGAGACTAGAAAGTTTGTTACATTCTTTAAATCATGCGCAAGATGCAAATTTTGCACAACCAAAATAATTTGTCAAAATTCAGAACCATTACACTACACGTGAAAAAAAGAAAAAGGCAAAGACTGACCAGATGGTGGAGATTGGATTCATTATCCACAGCTTTTCGTCCGGTTAGCAACTCCAGCAGAACGATTCCGTAACTATAAACATCAGACTTCTCGGTAAGCCGTGAGGTTCGAGCATACTCTGGGTCTATGTAGCCAATGGTGCCCATTATGTAAGTAGAAGTGTACGACTTTGAGATGCATAAGCTCTTGGCAATACCAAAATCGGTGAGATGAGCCTCGAAATCCTTGTCCAGCAGAATGTTAGACGACTTAATGTCCCGATGTATAATGCGCGGACTGCAATCATGATGCAGATAGGAGAGTCCTTGGGCTGCTCCAAGAGCTATCTTAAGGCGAGTGTCCCAGTCAAGCTTTTTCTTTTTGGTAGGGCCTGCAGAACATTAGTACATTTCCAAGTTAGAAATGAAGAGACAAACTTAAAAATAGATGTGCATTGGAAAATCAAAACTCACCATGAAGCAGATCCCAAAGACTACCATTTTCCATGTAATCGTAGAATAGAAGGTTTCCAGTCGGAGACAACGAGTATCCTTGGAGGCTGACCAGATTCCGATGCTTGATGCTACCGACTGTCCCGAGTTCTGTCTCAAATTCCTTTAAGCACTGAGGATAGTGAGAGTAGAGTCTCTTGATAGCCACCGGCTTGCAATTTTTGAGGACACATTTGTATACCGTGCTTGATGCACCGTACCCAATTATGTACTTCTCACTCAAGTTCTCAGTCATCCTCATGATATCCTCATAAACATGAAGTGCCATATTCATGTGAAGAATCACCAGCTTTGGCCTTGAGTAACAAACAGCTGTTTTAAAAGCACATAGAATTTAGCAGCGGGAGCCCCATTTAACAATATAGCTCACAAACCGATGAACAATTGCATATAGGTTTTGTGCAAAAATAAATTAAATACCCGGTTTGTCAAGTGAACCATCTGGAAAAGGAACTGGATTCTGGGGCCGGCATGCCGCCACCAAGATCAGGAGAAGAATTACAAGGGCACCAAGCGCAATTCCGAGGATAGCTGTTTTGGAAATCATAACTGGAACAAGGACAACAAAGGAACATTTTAAAGAATATTTAAGAGGCTATGCTTTTGAAAGTGGATGAAGATACTTATAATATTCAGTTATCAAAAAACACAACTCGATATCATCAATTGCACGAATCAATTCATGGTCCTGCTCATTGATGGTCGGTCTAACATGAAATTTGGTTAAAACGGTTTCCATTCTTTTAAATGCCGTATTTACCTCGCTCTGCTGAATGAGACGCGTGACATGGTGAACTGAGCCAGTAGCCACACAGTCCAGGGTTTCCAATAAAACTTCAAAAATGAATTTAAACCAGTGAATTGCATGAAAGAAACTCTATTAGAAACTAATGAGAACTTGTTGCGTCATTATAATATGCCAACCTTCAACTGTACAATATGAACTAGAAACTTTGAAAGAACACAAATTTTCTAACCTGTCGGGTGAAAACCTTGAGAAGTTATTGCTCGTGGGAATATCGCCCGCCAGATTGTTGTAAGATACATTTCTGCAGAGATTTGGTCATTTTGCGGAGAAATAGAAAGAGTTACACTAAAAAAAATAAAAAATGAAAATGAACTTCTCTGAATAGTGGACTTACAATACGGTAAGGCTGAGACAACTGCTAAATGACATTACATCCCCTGATAAATTGTTGTGCTCTAGTCTCCTGCAAAATTAGAAGTGAAACTTTAAAACAAACGATTTATGACAATCTAATCTAACCAACATTAACAATTAGCAACCGAGCTCAAAAGTTAGAATTTGAGAGCTTGACATGAACAAAAATGACAACTAGCATTATTAATATAAAAAAGTCAATAACCATTGTAACTTACAAGGAGAACATGTTCTGAAGCTGACATAGTTCTTGAGGTACTGGACCTTGAAGGTGGTTGTTTGAAAGATCTCTTCAATACAAACAAGTGAAACTATTAAGAAGGGAAAGAAGAAAGCAAAGAAGAATCCATAGAGTTAATTGAAAAACAAACTTGAAGAAGTACTAACTACATACATTTCCATAACACTTCTTAGATTACCAAACTCTGCTGGAATAACTCCTGTTAAATGGTTTTTGCTCAAATTTCTGCCACAACAATAGCTGTGTTAGAGAAAAAAGAAAAAAAAAAAAAAAAAAAAAGAATACAGAAAAACACCTGCCAATGGAACTTACAGCTTTAGAAGATGCTCCAAATCACCAAGAGAAGGAGGAATTGAGCCAATGATTTTGTTATTAGAAATATCTCTGTACATTTGTGTGATATATGTATATAATGTTATGTTAGAATAAGAAAGTAACGCAAGGAAGTCTAGAGGCTAGCATTAATTTCGGGCAAAAAAATAATAATAAAATGCTGAAGCTTCAAATACTTACAAGGTATCCAAATTACCAATCCGAGACAGCTCAATTCGAATGGGGCCCTGAAGATTGTTAGACGAGAGATTTCTGGAAAGTGAAGAAATTTAGTTAACGCTATTGCCAATCGGCATTCACATCAAGAAGTTGTGAAGAATAAATGGTGTATTGATGGACTTCATATAAGTTGATTAAAATAAAAGAAAAAATGCGTTACACTTACAGATATGTCATGCTCTCTAGCTTCTGGAAAGCAGCTAGGATGGTTCCATTAAGCTTGTTCCCATGCACATTTCTGAAGTCACAAATAACATACTTAAACCCAGAAGAAAATAAGTTTTTGAAGCAACATATCAAAGTTTGAGTTTAGGTGCTCACAGACTGTTGAGATTAGTACATGAACTAAGATTCTCAGGTATAGGACCCACAAGATTGTTGTTAGCAACATTTCTGTAGGAATTATTGCCATCAGTAAATCTTATGTTTAAGAAATGAAGAAGCCAATGGAATTCAAATTCATGTGGTAAGAAAACATACAAGTCAAACAAATTTGTTAGCTTCCCAAGCTCAGGTGGAATACGCCCGGAAAGATGGTTATCATTCAACTCCCTGCAAAGGCAGAGCAAAGGTTGGAGAATGAATGTCGACATTAAGCACACGTTCCAAGCTTGATGCATGCGTATGATCATTATAATTTATGAGGACAGATAATTAATTTTAGCAGCAGAAAGAAGCTCAAAGAGTTGTGTAAGTCTTGCATACAAATAGTGCAGCTTTGACATATTTCCGAGCTCAGGAGGAATTGGTCCAGTCAGCTTGTTGCCATGCAAATACCTGCAAGGTTTTGAGATAACCCAAGTCAGAATACATACATTTCTAGTGGATTTGAAGTTTAAGTAGTACTGTACTGTCAGATATATAATCAGAACTCTAAACCATGTTATGAATAACATTCATAGGAGATCCATAAAAACTGTAAGCAAATACTTACAATTTCTCCGTATAAGTCAGATTTCCCAGACTAGGTGGGATGGGCCCGCTTAACATGTTGCAGCTCAAATCTCTAGTTAAATGCAAGGAAAAGATTACGCAATCACAAGACAAGAGATGAAACATTGTGTTTACTCTAAGAAAACAATATTCAGGTCAAATACAGTTAAAAACCACTTACAATACGGCAAGTGCCTGCATCAGACCGATCACAGAAGGAATAAGCCCGGTCAGCCGATTACCTTGCAGTGATCTACAAAGGCAAGAGCAATCTTAAATAAGACATAATGATAACAAGAACTGGCAATATCTATCGCAAAAGGGCAAGAACATACAATGTGGCGACTTGCAGGAATCCGATATTAAACGGAATCTCTCCCACCAGCTGGTTATAAGACAAGTCCCTGCCAGGCAAAATGGAGGAAATATCACTCAATCAACTTGCTCAAACACCATTACAAAATGTAATCACATGAGTCAGGAAAAATACATACAAAACCTGGAAGGCAGTGCAGTTGCCTATATTCTGAGGAATTGTACCAGTCAGGCTGTTGTTTCTCACATCACTGAAAGATGCGGAAAAAGAATGACACGTTATCAAAATATCTTATATGCTGCAGAATTTATAGGTATATTAATCAGGCTTTGAGAATTTACTAAGTGTAAGATTGCAACTTACAAATACCACAACCCAGTTAACAGGCACATATCTGGAGATAGAGTGCCCACCAAGTTATTCCCACGCAAACCACTACAATGAAGAAGACAAAATGAAAATAGCTCCAATTTGAGACCAAAAATGATATGAGCTAATAATAACTAAGAGAAGCATTAACATGGTACTTCATAGTACACTCACAGATACTGCAAAACTTCATTCCAGTATATAAGTCTTGGTATTTCCCCGCTGAGATTATTCTGCGCCAAGTCTCTTGAACCAGATTTTCAATATAACATGGATCAATGTCAGTCATAGGCAACACAAGTGGGAATTTCAAAAGAGAATCAAGAAAGGAAAATGAGGAACTTACAAAACCTTCAAGTTGGGAATCTGAGACAATGTTGAAGGAATAGGTCCAATCAACCGATTATTTTTCAAGACTCTGAAAACCCATTTTAAAGAAAACTCCATTAAGTCATTTGAATAACTACTCGCTGAGAAAATATATCAATACATCAAGATTTGCGCAGAAAAACTTACAGAAATTCCAGTTCTTTTAACTTTGAGATTGAAAAGGGTATGTCTCCACATATCTCATTGAATGACAAGTCCCTATTAACAGCATTTAACAAAATTATATTGACAAGTGTTATTATTAAGTAGAAAGAACTAAGTTTAACCACTATATAGACAACTTACAAGTTTGTCAAAGAAGAACAATCACCAATCTCATCTGGGATTTGGCCTGAAAGACGATTTCCTCTAAAATCACTGATCATAGAAGACAAAAAGAAAGGTTATTAGCATTTTTCATCTCCAAAAGCATCACCATTCAAACTAACCAAATTATAATCTCATGTTCCATCATTTCTTTTCCTAAACGTGAAAACAATTATAAAGTAATAAAAGAGGTAGAGAAGTACATATATTGCAGGCTCTTTAGATTTCCAATTGCAGGTGAAATTTCTCCTTCGAGATTAAGACCGGATAAATTACTGAAAAGGTGCAAACACAAAAATAACAGAAAATCAAAATCAACACCAATCATCACAACAAAACAATAAACCAAAACAACCCAACTTGGAAAAATTAAAGGAAAAAAACAAAACACTGCTTACAGCGATACGACACTGAAGGTGACATTGTCACAAGTGACCCCTCTCCAACCACAATAATCTGAAGATGGCGAGTCTGCCCAGTCATACAAATCATTGTCCACGTCCCTGAACGACTTCTTTATCTCCAACAGTGTTACCCCTTCATCACCGTACACAATAATGAACCCATTAATTTCAAAGAGAAAAAAAAAGAAAAGAAAAGATACCAAATTCTTGGACATTGTGAAGTTTTCATGATCACTCAAAAAAAAAAGAGCAAAAGAAGCTTCAAAACTCCCAGCCCACAAAAAGAAACAAACTCACCGTCGTCAGAATCGACAGAACCGAAGGCGGCGCAAGCGAGAAAAGCCAAGAGAACGAACTCAACCGGAAACGCCATGACTTTCAAACGGCAACCCGTTTCACCACTTGACACACACTCAGTGCCCATTTTGAAGAAGAAGAAGAAGAATAGGAAGTGAGACAGAACATCCTCTCCTCGGACTCGCCGACATTGATAACGCTTCTTCACGTTAACTGTGGAGTGTGGGAACTGGGAAGTGAAATGACTTGACTGGTTATGAAGTGAAACGAAAAGCTCTCTCTCTCTCTCTCTCTTTTCTCTTCCTCTCTGTTTTCTTTTTTTTTTCTTTTTTGAGAAGTTAAAAAATATTTTTCTGGTGATGGTAGTGACTGTGAGTCTGAGAAGAGTTCTCGTCAACTTTGGTCGTTCAATCACATCGCTCTGAGCCCATAAAGACTTCTAAGCACAACTGTAACGACTAGAGAGAGAGAGAGAGAGAGAGAGAGAGAGAGAGAACGAAGAACGTAAACAGAGTAAGAGAGAGAGAGAGAGAGGAAAAGGGAGAATTATTTTCATGAATAAAGTTAAAAACCCATCTGCCAATAGCTCTGCCATAGGACCTGCAACATTACAGCTCTTTGTTCCGATCTTTCTCTCTCTCACACTCACTCTCTCTCTCTCTCTCTCTACATTATATTTTGGGTTCCCACTTCTGGGTGTTACTGTTAATGTTATGTGAAAGCCATGCCATGCCATTTTGTGAATAATGGGTCGCTTTCTTTCTCTTTGGCCTTTGCCGCTCTGTGTCTGCAGAGATGGGGAAAAAAATTGGGTTAAATATGTGTAATGTAATATCATTTTGGTATGCTTATGGCTGTACTATATAAATATAAAGCCTATAAACTAAGCTATTAAGACTTTTAAGTAGTGTGAGTAGTGATCCTCGCGAGTTGACAATGACTGCCTCTCGCTTTCGCCCTTTTTATAATCTCTCCCTATAGGTAATAACTAACCATCCTTGCCTTTGTGTACTTACTTTAAAATGATGATAATAAGAAGAAAGTGGAAAAAGAGAGAACAATCTTCTCATTATCCAAAGAACTAAAAAAGCATCTCATGATAGTTGTTATTGCCGTTAAATTCTGCAACTCAAAGCACTCAAAAGTAAAATTATAGGTCCGTTTATTTTACTAATTTAAATTTAAAATTTAAATTTTGTTATAATATAAAATTTTAAAAACAGCCATATTTAATTTTTTTATTATAGAAAATAACTCTTAAATAAAATTACGTCTTAACTCGAATTAAAAATTTAAATCAATAAACTAAACGGACACACAAAGTGCTTCTTTTTTGGTGAATTACAAATTACTTCTAACAAAATAGTGAATTTGCAAATTACAATTTTAATTGAGCTTTTCAATTTTTAGTATAAAAAATGGGTTTTTTATGAATGGATTTTTTTTTTTTTTACCTGGATTTGATTTAAAATCGGCCCTCTTTGTATATTTTTTATTTTGACTTGATTTTGAAATGGGAAATATAACGTTACTTTAGAATAAAAAGCTTCTTAGTCTTATTTTACATAAGAATGTGCGCTTGTATGTTGATAGTGCACGACTCTCGTGTATTTAAATTTTTTTATCAAAATTCGTTATTTTATCATAATTATGATGTCATTTGGCATTCAAAAACACACAATACTAAGCAAAATACACTGAAAAAAAAAACAAAAAAAAAAAAAAAAAAAAAAAAAAAAAAAAAAAAAAAAACCTTGAAAATTTTGATACGATGGTAAAAAACGCCACCCATCACAATTTTTATCGTTACATGTAATTCTTAGGTTAGCACTTACTCTCGTATCAATTCAACCTGTGTATTTGGATGCATGGTCCACAAAATGCTGTATAATAATGCCTAATATATTGAAAATTAGTGATAATATACCTGAAACATTTATGCATGGCCCACATAATTATTTTAATATTGAGATTGAAATTAGGACTCGTTTAATTCATTGATTTGAGTTTTTAATTCAAGCTGAGATGTGACTTTATGTGAGAACTTTTTACTGTAATAAAAAAATTAAATGTGACTGTTTTTAAAAATTTTTTACTATAACAAAACTCAAATCAGTAAAATGAACGGGCCCTAATTGTGTTGCTTTGAATTTTAATTGCTTTAGTAAAGTAACTGGAGTGTTATCCATACTAAGAAGCTAGGCCACAAGTATGCGTCTATTTTCGTTACTATAACCAGATAACTTGATTCAACGGTCCCAAAAGAGCAGGACTTCGTCAAGCCTTTAAATCATGACACACGTTTAATTCACTGATTTAAACTCGCAATTTTTTTTTCAAAACAAATTGAATAAACAAAAATTTACCAATAAGTTATCTCAAAATTTAAATGTGTGAGCGAAATGGACCATTAGTCGTAATAATATTATTAGACGGGAAAAAGGAAAATGTACGGAGAAATCATTGTTTACATAAGTTTTCAATTGTTCATGTTGGTACTGACTTGTACCAAAGAAATCTCAATCTAAAATAGTTGATAAATAGTAAAGATTTGTGTTTATGGAAATGATATTTTATTTTATTTAATACCAATAGTGTAAAGAAAATGACAAAACATAGGGAGAAATTAAACCCAGCGGTATGTTGTCCCTTGATTATCAGGGTAAAGTTCACTCGGGATGTTTACAGTACATATTTTTCTCTGTATCTTTATGATTTTTTTTTTTATTCAGTTGCAAGTGAGAAACATGCAAGAGAAATTACCATCGAAGGGCCAAAATATCATGCGGTTAGTTTTCGTTAAATTGTGGCTTTGGAGTTAGTTTTATTTTTATTTTTCACGTTTTCTGATAAAAAAATGAAAATGAAAAATAAACGGCGTTTGTCACAATTAAAGACAAAAAATAAAAATAAAAATAATTTTTTGATTTAGTGTAAAATGAGAGATAAATAAAAAATAATTTTTAGTCATTTTTTTATTTTTTATTTCCGCTTTCTCCTCTCTCGAGTACAGAAAGAGACATTAATATATTTTTTTATATTGAAAATAATCTCTTGATAAAATTATCAAACGCATTTTCAAAAATAATTTACGTTTAAGATTAAAAATATTTTTATTTTTATTTTTATACAAAAAATAAAATTATTTTAAAACGACTTCTAAATCCACACTGTATTTTGGCTTTTGTCAACGTTGGAGTGTTTTTTTTTTTTTTTTTTTTTTGATAAACGTATGTCAACTTGTTGGGATATTCAATTAACAAACGAAATAAAATAGAAAAGCATGTGCGCTTGACTGTGGTTTTCACCCTGATATACTTTGGGTATTGTTGGGAGAATATATATTTAATTTAATATTAACATGCATGCATGCTTCTTATTATTGTACGTCAACATCTTTCTTTAACGTGATAATGTACGTTTGACCATTAAAATTAGCCAGTGCAAGACTAGAGAAGTTCCTCAAGGTTTCGTATCAACCTTTCACCACCAAAGTAGATTTATAAGGTACATTTGAAACTCATTTTAAAATAATTTTATTTTTTATAAGTAAATAGAAATGAAAATATTTTCAATCTCAGACAGAAATTATTTTTGAAAATGCGTTTAATAATTTTATCAAGAGGTTATTTTCAGCATAAAAAACTCATTAATATCTCTCTCTGCTCGAGAAAGAAGAAAACGAAAATAAAAAAACTCTCTCATTTTACACTAAACTAAAAAATCTTTTTTATTTTTATTTTTTATCTTTAATTGTACAGACGCCGTTTTAGAATCATTTTTATTTATACTTTCTCAAAAAATGTAAAAAATAAAAATAAGAACAATAAATACTCAAAATGAAGAAAAGTATGCTTGAAAATTTTTATTTAATCCAATTTTGTACGAGGAAGAAAGGAACTCAATTAAAATATAGATAATTGCTAAAAGGAAAAATACAGAATTGTCTTGTCATTTAATTAATTAAGTCCCCGCATAGATAAATGCTAAAAGGACTTTAGAATTTTTTTTTTTATCTATACGCGTTTCATTAATGTGTTTTTTCTTTTTTTTGATATTAAAGATAATCAAACAATAGGAACCTTTTACGCATCGCATGTTCATATAATTACTGATGAGCATTTTTGAACATGAGATCACACAAGTCTAACAGTCTATCATAATTAAAATGGTATCTAAATCTAAATATAGGAACCAGCAGGAGTTCAAACTTCAAAGAGACATCTTAGGTCTAGTTCATATCGTGAATTTGAGTTTTTAATTCAAGTTGAGATGTGACATTTTTTTAGAGTTTTTAATTGTAGTAGAAAAAGTTAAATGTTATATTTTTTTTAGAACTTTTAACTGTAGAAACCCGTAACTAAAAACTCAAATCGATGATATGAATAAAGCCTTAACAATTCTGAGGAAAATTTGCTGCTTATACAATATCCAACCATTTTCCTTTAAAAAAAGATAAATGTAAAATAATAAGAGAAAATAAAGAAATCAAAACAAGAATTGTTTACATAAATGTCATTGAATTATGTATCTTATTTTAAAGTGTCTCTAATTTTTTAAAATAATTAAAAACACACTTAATTTATAGAAAACATATTAAATTATCCTCTTTTTCCACTTATGTGTTAGCCTTAATATAAAATACATAAAAATCAAATAATATTCAGAACCAAACGTATAACTGTAACCAAAAATCTGTATTCCCCGTTAGTGGTGTATGTTCCATTAGCTTAATAGGGGAGTGATCTTGCTGCGCTCGTTGCACGGGAGGGAAGGAGTCGCCAAAGGGAGTTGCTCAAAGGAAGGAGGGAAGTGGACCCTGGATGAAGGGGAGGGTCACAAGAGGGGGTAGCAGTGAGGCCTAGGTTCGTGTGCTAATGAGGGCGACGAGGCTTGGGTTCCACAACGGATAGGGGGCATGGGTCACACAAGTGTGGGGGTGGAGGGTGTTGGAGGGGCGGATTTGTTTTGGACCCGTTTAGTTCGCTGATTTGAGTTTTTAATTTGTGTTAAGTTGATACGTGATTTTATGTTATAACTTTTTACTGTTGTAAAAAAGTTTGATATGACTGTTTATGAGAGCTTTTTACTGTAATAAAACTCAAATTTCAAACTCAAATCGGTGAAATGAACGAGACATTTAATTATCTTCAATTAATTTTTAATATTCATTTTTTGTTGCCACATATGCATTTTCCATTCAAAGATACACGACAGCGGATTAAAAGAGTAATTCCATATGTTTCTTAAAGACTAAGGAGCATTTTAAGGCTTCGTTCATTTCGCTAATTCGATTTTAGAATTTGAGTTTTGCTACAGTAAAAAGCTCTCACAAACAATCACATCTAACTTTTTTGCTACAGTAAAAAGTTCTCACATAAAATCACATCTCAACTCGAATCAGCGAACTAAACGGGCATTAAATTGTTTTGAAAATTCAGCGACACTTCAAAATAAGATACAGAGTTTGGAAGTATTTATGCCCCGTTTACTTCACCGATTTGAGTT